TTTGTAATACTTTGGGTAGGTCGTAGTACTCGGGAAATACTAAGGACACGTGTGTAACCTGATGCTGACACTTTTATTCAATATGATATATCTATTCGCATACACAAAGCAATTGGGATAACCGCGGGAAATTACAATTCACGGAGTACTTAGGCTGAACATAACTTACGTAAAAAGAAATAGTTCCATTAAAATAGAAACAATCAGGTAAATCATCAAACTTGCATGTTAGCATATTTTATCTTGCATATGGTATAGGGGGCAGAAATATGCCACCAGAGATTTGTGAAATCTTACATGAAGTTTATTTTGACCCCGTCTTTAAGTACTGTCTCTATCAGTACTTTGATTTTCTCTTTCTAATACAACTCCGGAAGTGGAAAAAAACGTCGTTTAAATTTAGCAAAATTATAAAATATAGATTTGACATATTACAGAGAAATGTAATAATTCTGGTATCAAATTATCAAACCGCCAGAAATCCAATTTTTTAACAATAAAAGAAAGATTTAAAGAAATTTGCAATTACTTTTTGAAAAAATACGATTTACGTCGGAACATCAAGTAAAAAATATGTTTTAATATTCCAACTAATCTTTTTAAACTTGATTCCAGAATGATCTACATGTATTTACTTTTACATGTTCTATTTCAGGGGACAAGTTTCTCTCGGAGAATGAATTAAACAAGGCGCCAATAATTTTCGATTGTTAACAATGTATGAAATTGTGGATAAATAATAAAGCGATGCAAGAATTCAAAATAACTTAAGCTATATCATGTTAAGCTATATTTGATAAGTAAGATATTACTGCTTAGAATGCTACTTTTATTACAAACTGAAGAGATTTCTCTAACACAAAATAATACTTTGAAATAATAACTCCCATATGAATCTATTTTACGAGGGAAAATACGGGGGGGAAATACAAAAACTTACGTATAAAAAACACGAGTGTGATTAAATGTGGTCAATTACACATCATTGCATTATGTTAATCAAATTATTTGCGAGCACAAGATACGTTATACTACTTTTTGTTATTTACGCGTTTCGAAATGGAATAAAACATATTTAGCATAAACATGTGAATAAGTCTCTAATAAACAAACATTATATTGATTGAGAAAAAAAAAATCAGATCTTTTTCCAATGTTTATTTAAATAGTTTACTTAATTAAGTCTTATGCAAATTTCAGCAGGCAAAAAGAAGTAAAATCATGTAGAAGTTAAATATGTCATTTATTAAAGTAATTGACGAAAGAAGTGAAACACAGTTTACATGTACTACATGTACCATGCATATACATATAGCTTTAATAATATAAATTTATTGACTTGACTTGACTTGATTAACATGCGTTACGTTGGACCAGGAACCAAAATGTTTCTTGCCTAAGGTTGTTAGACCGAAGGCTAACAGTTTGGTTCGAACAAAACGCCTTGTCCGAGAACACAGTCAATAACCGCCTTGCGGTCTAAATTTAGTCAAATCCAACGAATGCAAATAAAACTCTGACACATCTGTTTCATATTTGGATATTTTGCCTAATAAGATGTAAAGCGTAACCTATCAAGAAAGCTTTATGATAATCGTGTTGACTTCAACTTCACCCTGAATTGATTAGGGATTTTTTGTTTTTCTCTATCATGAAAAGAAACACACGGTGGATCCCAAATCTGGTGTTTTTAGATGTCAGTGAATCCTCTTCTCCCTATTATTATTGAATACACTGACTCCGAACTTAAATGCTGTACTTTATCTCTATATTTCTCCATGTTTCATTTCATTGAAAATTCCAAGCACTTGGCGAATGAACAGTTGCTACCTATTTTCTAATGAACAAACGGAATGAGCTCTCTACCGAATGAACTACCGTGTCGACTTATTTTTCTGAGAAGAAAATGACGAATTTGATTAAAATGTCAGAATGGATTAAATGTATCAGATCCATGTTAAATTCAGATATTAAAAGATTGAGGGGGAATATGAAAAACCATCTATCGTTCTGTATTCAATAATCCAGAAGTGAAAAAAAAAGAATTAGATAAATTACATGATATTACATGATCAGTACGTACTGGCCCCTGCTGACAAAGCAGGTAACAACATCGTCTTCGTTTGTAAGGCTCATTTAATTAATTGTATTTTAGAACTTGGGTTTAATTCTACAAGTGGTAATCCACTTATAATCATATTTCCCTTTCTAAGGAGGAAATTCTTCAAAATCATATTTCAGTTTTGAATATTTTTAATATCCCGAAGACCCTGAAGACCCTATACACTGAAGACCAAAATGAATCTGAACTACCATGTATATATAATGGATTTCGAAACTCCATACGAATCCTTACAAACAAATATACGAGGGCTGTTCAATAAATAATGTCCTGGACTGTATGACATACAATACAAATATCATATGGCATTAAACTTGACTTTCTCTCGTTATTTAATCTTTAATGAATTTATAACAGTTTATTTAACCACTTTTCATCACAAAGTTTCATCGTGAGAAGCTGGGAAACAAGGGCTATTCGAGACACTGCATGTAAAATGAATTGTAAAGAACCATTAAACTAGAGTGAAATTAAAGGCTTTATTCAAGCTGCTGTAAAACTCGTTAAAAATCCCAAAGAAATATTCACTAAAATATGTGACATTTACAGCAACCAATGCCTGTTTTATAGACAAATGAGCAGGTGGATTTCAATAATAAAAATATATAATAGGCATAAAAAATGGGTACCGTCGTTGCCAACAAAAATGATACAGTTTATGTACTGTTTGCCAAATTTCAACAAATAATATTTGATGATGTATGATTTACTTTAAGACGCATAGCAAAATTTGATAGACATAATTTCGGAAGTAGTTTACACTTTTTTAAAGAAACGTTTGACGGTAAAAAAGCTTGATATTCAAGGTCACCCTATATTTTGAAAAATGAGTGAAAATGACAGCGTATACGAAAGTCTTAACAATTATTTTGAAATATCAGTAATTGTAGTTATCCACGTTTGTTTTATATTTAAACAGATATTGGAACATGAATCTATTGCTTAAAACCCTCAGAACAAAACTTACCATAAGTTGTACTTGATAAAAACGGCGAAGGTCTGACAAGAGCAAAGGTATGCAAGAGTACAAATACAGATTAATATGTAATTTTCTTAAATATTAGTGGTATTGTTGTTAAAATTCGTATTGGGGAAGACAGTTTTATTTATGGAGAAGTCTAGAAAATAATTTTTTTGCTAAAAAATCGAAAGGTTTACTAGAGGAAGGATCCAGAATCAGGAATCCACTACACTGAATTTCATCATGACAGCGTCCAAACCCGCATGCCCTGATGAGTAAAGGGGTTTTCGGGGTAAACAGAAAGTTAATGTTTTATTCACATTAACCATCTTCGCCTGATCTTGACCTTTTGACTTGATTCTATTTCTAAACTTGAAAAAAACATTTCAGAAGGAAGAAACAAGTCCAAGAAATCATTGGATCTGCCATTTTCCAGTATACTAAGGGTCATACCCAAAAACGAGTTCTAAAACAATCAGAAATTGGATTAAAATATGTTACTGACACGTGTTTTAATCAAAAGAGATTAATAAGTAAAATCATGAAGACTAAATAATCATTAAAAGCGTCTTTTGCTTCTTTCCGAGCACCGAGGACATTATTTATTGAACAGCCCTCGTACATTGTGGATTCCAGTAAATGTTCAACCAAGCTTCTTTCTTTACTCTTCACTAAGATATTGACAGAAGTGAAGGGAAAACTTCAAGAGTACTGTGCAACAATATATTCAAGAAGTGGTATGAATCAGATGTGGATACTAAAAAATTCCCAAGAACTTTTGGACAATTTGAAATCACAAGATTTTACCAAAATCAACAGCTTAAAAACTTTTCAACTTTATACAAAACCATTCCCCACGATAAATTAAAGTCTAGACTTTTTGATATCATTGATAGCTGCTTTTTCAATAAAAAATGGAACTCGTAATTTGCTTACCTGATCACTGGTCATTTGCAAAATTATTTCGTTAAAACACATTCTGATTGCACACACAAGTGCTTTGAAGTTGACGTCAAAAGATGCTTGAGTTTCTGATTGAAAATATCTATGTGGTTTTTGGAGACCAGGTCTTCCAACAATCTATTGGAAATTCCATGGTTATCATTGCGCTCCTTTATTAGCATGCTCACTCCTCCATGGCACTTGATCCCACCTCTGATGTTTTAGAGGTCTGCGTTTGCTCTGCTCCTATTTTATATTGTTTTATGGAGTTTGATATGAAGTACTGTTCGTTATCTCCGTATCCTTTATGGAACAAAAGATATCAAGATAGACAATTTTTACTTGTAGGATTTGCTCTGAGTTAGTATTTTAATCAAGAGAATTAATTACTAGTTGTACAATAATATTATCGCCTTTTTGATCATTTTAATACCAACAACACCCAAACTTTTACCGATCTAAAAGTATATAGAGAATATTTGACTTTTTGTATGGCCTTAATCACCGTACGTATTGAACTAAAAACCTTAATAGTAGTATAGTATTAACAGCTTTTAATTATCAGTGCATTTAAAGGAAAAAAGAATCAAGTTAGAAATTAACTGTAGACGAGAAGAGAAAATGCAGCATTTTCTCTTCTCGTCCACAGATTATGCAATCTAAGGTTATTTTCGTTCTATCAAAATAGATCTATGATACTGAGTATTGTTATGTTAATTAGCTTCAAATAGATATTCTTCTCATCAAGTATTTTTTTTAAATAAAAGTCAAAATTGGTATTATACAAGTACAGTGTATAAATCGTTCTAAAGGGATTTTATAATGTGTTTGTTTCTATCTGATTAATTCCAAATTCTCTGTAAATGAACCAATTCTTTGCGGCACAATGATACAAATTTTTCCATAACAATAAATAATTTTACTACAAAATTTATGAATGAAGTTAATTTAAATGTATTTTTAGTGTCAATATTGGTCTATCACTTCTTGATTGACATTATTTAAATCGATCTGAATTATGGGAAAAAAAGTTGATGACAATTCTGACATTGTGATATATACATATCGCTAAAAGCAGAAGCTGATTACACGCCATGACACTAAAATCAATAATTCAATTTAAAAAAATGCTTTGAAATAATTGAATATTTGGATTCAAAACGGCTGCTATTTTTTTACATTTTCCCTAAAAAAAATAAAATTCGAAAATAGTTTTTCCCAGCCAAGTATGCATGGATATTGTGTTAACTGATAATTTTTTAACTAAATCTGTTCATGAAAAAAAAATTGTACAAATTGTAAACAAAAACTTCAGTCAGGTGAAAATTGATGACAACTGTCGTCTATAGGGGGGAAGGATTAGCGTTCAATTACTTAAAAAAAATAAAAAGGCATATGTAATTAACATATAATATAACGATGCATTCAGCTGTTCCGGGAAACTCGTAAATTGCCACATAGTCTAGCAGTAAGATATTTCTTTGAATTAAATCACTTTCAAAATAATTATTTAAAATAAAAAACGCTTGTTAAATACATCCTTTTTCTTCTGTGTATAAGTACTGAGAGTCAAGGCAATGTTCAAGGTAAGTAAAATTATATTTATGTTAAAATATAAAAACAGATAATTAAGGATATCTGATCCTCAGCCAGGAAGGATAACTCCACAAATTAATATTTAATTTGAAATGCATCAAAATGAAGCTTGAAAATGAATTTTTTTCATGCAACAATTTTTATTTTATTCATCTTTATAAGATTCAAGGTTTTTGGAAGTCTTAGAAAAGGTCTTATAAAAGTTGACATTTGTACCCTATAAAAGGAAAAAATAATATTGTAAATTCATTGTAAGTTGACATTTGTACCCTATAAAAGGGAAAAAAATAATAATTGATCTAAAATGCAATTAAGAGAACAGCCAAAAAGTAATTTTTGTTGTGTAAACAACTACAAACCAACAAATAACCTAATATGTATTTTTTCTATTTAATCCCTATTACAACAAAAATTACTTTTTGTCTGTTCTCTTAATTGCATTTTAGATCAACATTTCACACGTACTGGCATTGTTGCTGATGACCAGCGTATTTATTGAGGATTCCAATGGGGCTTGGTGGAGTTGGACTAGAAGACGTAAACCTAAAGTACAGATACATGTACCTGTGACCACACAAGCACCAGTCTGCCCCCGTCTTTGTAGCTTCAGTTGTGAACCATCAAATAAATGCGGAAGGTTCTGCTGTTTTTACTGCTACCGCAGTTGTAATGGAAAATATCAGAATATTGTAATTTAAATTCTTTTGTTTGTTTTAGTTTTACATGTATTTGTTTGTTGTTTAACGTCCATCCCGAGAATTTTTAACTCATATGGAGACGCCTATTTGATTTTTTTTTTTTTATTTTGAGATTGACTTAAAATGATTTTGTTATTTGTCTATTAACACTAATATGACGTTTTTTTTCAATTACAAGAGCTTGCCATGTAAATTTTCCGTGTGGGATAAGAATGGTGACGGTGCTGTTAGCAAGACTGAATTTGTGAATGTGACACAAGCGAACAAGAATGTGGATGTTGATTACGTTTTCAAAACGTCAGACAAAAATGGTAAATATATTTTAATAGTTTAATTAAATGTTTCATTGTATAATTTGTTTTCCTTTTTATCAGAATATCTTTTTATTTAAAAACATTTCATTTCTGCAGCTGACAACGTCCTATCAAAGGAAGAGCTACGCAATGCACCAATTATTATGGAGAAGTGTTAAATGGCAACTGCATAAATTGTCACACAAGTCTAGTTGAGTTCTTCAGAAATAAATTCAAACTGTTGTGTTAGTTATTTTGTCCGAAATTCTCTTTTGTCAACATGTCATCTGCTTTTTACTCTTAATCACTGGGGAAATTTTGATCTCTCATGAATACCTTTTAATTGTTAATCCCAAAACTTCGTGTGCATCCATCTATAATACTGAATACATGTATATATTGTTATACCACCCGCTTGAAATGCAGGAGGGTATATATTAATCGGTATGTCCGTCCGTCCGTCCGTCTGTCTGTCTGTTACGCTTTGGGATACTCATCTGTTATCCGCAACTCCTCTCATACCACTGAATGAAATTTGATGAAACTTTCACATAATCTTTATCAAATATTGGCATTGTGCACCTCTTATTTTACTTTTTGATCCGACATATATTTTGGGTTTCCCACAGCAAAACATGGACACTGCCATTATATTGATATGGGAGGCTGGGGAGCTCATTTAGTGAGCTCATTGCTTACAATACCTCTAGTTTTCTATTACTATGACGTTATTTGTCTTTTCCCCCAAAAGATCCTATACTATTCTTGTCTAAACAGTGTCTGTTTAGAAGCTTGGGTACTTTGGATATGACAAAAGTTAATGAGATCATGTTCATTCTCCGTAAAAGAAAATTGTAATATGTTCAGTGCAGTGTGTAACGACAAAGTTTTTTTCAACCTGCGCACAAGTTTTTGTTGTTTAAATGAAAACTGCACACGAAAACGTAAGATATTTCGGACTAAATAGGGAAATAAGGAAAACTCTGTCGACAATAGAGTGTGTAGATTATAACAATAAGTATGAAAAACGTTTGTCAGCATTTGACTTAATGATAAAGTTACCACTGTATGTACCTACATTAGGTTATTATCGTAAAATATTAGAAAAAACGGGAAAATTTATGATGAAAACGCTGAATTCGTTCTGTTTGTCAATTAGATTATTTGTTTATTAGTTGGTCTTAAATGTTTTATAGATCTTTTTCAGAGTGCTTATGCGTAGAACAAGAATTTTTTGGCAAAGTCATTTTGTAGATAAGTGATCAGAATTGGCCAAAAATACGAGGTCCATTTTAACTGAGGATGTAGTTACATACATACATGTGTATCATACTCAAAGACATGAAAATAAAGTACAATGACTATTCTCCTTTGAAAACTATTCTCTAACAATATATAGATTTATTAAGAATCATGAAGATCTCTTTTTTTGTAAAATCTTAACACTTATACACCAGGGGAATCTTGCAATAAAACGTTCTTCTGAAAGGAATCTGTTTCCTGAAAAAAAAAAAAAAATCTAATTTACAACAAATTAAATTTAAGAAATCAGTGGAACTTATTATAATAAGTAATAACTAATTAGTTCTAAGCTGATTTAAATGCCAGACAATTTTCAACCCTTAAAATAAAGTATTTTTTAAACCTTCTTGGCTTTAGCATGCAATTTTTGTCTTCAGAGATTTATTTTGATTATGCAAAGCAGACTCTAGCGCAGACGCTCTAACCACTGCGCCATGCGGGCGACGCAAGCAAGGAGAAAGGATGTCCTTCAGATATTTTATAAACGTTTTCCAAAAAATTAAAAAAAAAAAAAATTCAAGACCCCAACGGATATAGACTGGTTTAAAATATGTGATAAAGAAAATAGTTAAAAACATTTTATCTGGTAAATGAAATGTATGATTTTTGTTCATGATTCTAATCATTATCCAATAATAGATTATATGAACTCTTACTCTCTTCCTTCCACATAATTTTTTGCAGACTGGAGCACACGCTAGAGAACACGTTGGACAGGCCTTCGTACATGCTACTGGACATGCTATTTTACAGATTCTTCGCCCCCTAACTCTTATTCTTATTCGTCTCCGCCACCCTCCGTAAGCCTCGTCTAGAAGGCACCACGTGACCAATGTCAGAATCAGAACAAAAATCAACTTCGAATTCATCTAAAAGGAAAAAAGAATTATTTTATCTAAAGTTATAATTATTCTGATAATATTAAACGTCGTCAGTTTAAACTTAATTTTAAGATTATTCTTCATATGAAATGAAAAGTAGAAAAATAATTGATATATAATTATTATAAAATAAACAATAATTTATAAAAGTTAATATACATTTTTACCAAAGACAAGGCAATGCGACCTACCGTTCTTGATGCTTTGTTTCTTTTCCTGCCGGGACACTGCAACGTGGGTCTTTTATAAGAACTAGAAATGATGAAAACTGCACGTCTGTTGTCGAGTCCTGACTGTACCACTGTATCAGGTTTTTAAAATTGAATTATTCATTGAAATATGAGTTTTTGATAAACATTTTAGACTTTGTATATCCTGGTTGTGAATGTCAAGGAAGATGCTGATTTAAAACAACAGCTGTTTTTAATGTAAAAAACTTTAGGAATATAATAAAGCAAACATTAATATATCTGTTTACTTATATTTTCAATATTCTGCTACTTATTGATAAGGAAAAATAACTAAACAGATTCTTGGTCACGTCCTATGCAAAACCAAACTTCATATAAATGGCCATCAGTGTTTCCTTAAGACCAGAAACAATTTAGATATTTCAAAAAATGTTACAGCAGTGCATGCTATTCGTACATATATATTTTAAAACAAAGTAAGCAATTTAAAAACAAGTTGATGAAAAAAAACCAACAATCTCGTTTAAAGGCAACATTTTACAAGTTCTATGATCGATAAACTGACCTTGTCCATAAATACAAATTTTGGCGTTTGGAGAGAAGATGAAATCGTGATAAGGTAAATACAACATCAACAAGACGACAATGAAAGTCAACGGACACATTTTAATCAGTTTAGTTCACTTGAACCTTCGTCTCAGGTAATATATTCCGAATAATTAATAATACAAATACTAGAAATTGAAAGTTCAAGACATCTAAAATATGAATTCAGCAATCATTGAGTTTTTGTAATTTTTCAAAACAGGAACAATTCAAAAGATTAATACCATGCATGCAAATTAGGGGGATTATCCATGTTAGTTTTAAAGTCAGGATGACTAAAATTGAGAAAGAATGAATGGACAAATTCTGGGCTTTTCCAATGCGACTTCAATGCACAATATTTCTTTTACAGTTTGATTCAGTGGCGGATCCAGGAATTTCGTAACGGTGAGGGAGGGGGCAGTAGAAGGTAGGTGGTCTGAGGACTGAAGCCCCCAGTGGTTCTAGGGCAACGCCCTGGTGGGGATGAAGCCGCCGAAAGCTGACAAACCTTTACAAATAAGAGATGTTTTTCCTTGCTATTAGGATAATGGACATGTAAGTTTACATACAAAAGAATTAAATTGAAAGGGGGCGCACGGAGCGACGGCCCTGGATCCGCCTTTGTGAGTTAAGGAGTACATAATGTACTTTAAATACTTGAATTTAGATTTAAGATTTGACTGACAAGAATTAGGCATTACTCTGTACCATTTGTTTTCTATCACAAAAAAGAAGTACAACTCAAATTTTGTGCTTCAAACGTTATTAAACAACGTTTCGAAAAATACATCTAGATTCTGTATAATATCATTTTGCGAACCAAAGTCCTCTCAAAGGCACCGGTAATTTTCGCATTTTAACGAGACCGAGTTCAAGTATTTTTCCTCTAGGGATTTTGATAATTTTTGTTTATTAATTTTTATTGTTAAATTTATTGTTCTAAAATTTAAAAATCGAATGTTTACAACCTCAATTTCCTAAGGGGCCATCTCAAAGGATGTCAAATTTAACCTTTAGACCCTATGGAAATTTGTTGGAAAAGCGTCAAATTTTCACATTTTTTTCATATTTTTTGTATTTCTGTCCTAGAGATTTCTTTGTCAGTGATGCAGAAGAAAGTTATTGTAAAAAGTTAACAAACTGAAATTTTAAAAAAATGCCCATCTAGGTTGGTCCAGGAATTAATAACAAAGTTTATTTTTTTCAATGTCCAATACCTCTAAAATTGCCATACTGCAGTAAAAAAAAAATACTTATCGGTGCACGGTGCAGATGAATTATCGGCGCGGATGAATTTTTGGTAAAAAAAAAATATAGTCTACAATTATTGCATGATAGTGAGGGAGACATGAAGATTTCTTCTCCCATGAAAAATCATGTTGCCCGAGGGGAAAATGATTATTCATGGGCGAAGAAATCTTCATGTCTCCCAAACATTCATGCAATAATTTTTTTATTATACCGAATCAAGCACAATGCAGGAAATATAAAGAAAATCCAATAAATAAAGTAAACATTTGATGAGAACAAAATGAAACAGATGTAATTTACACCATTAGCTGTGCTTCATATAAAAAATTCTTCGTGACAAGTCATTCTGATTTGAATATTAGTAACATTCATTCCCACTCATGGGAACACTTTTCTAAATATTTATATTTTACAATTTTATATCGACATAATTAATCAAAGATATAAACAATCAAACCCAGCACATTCGCCGCATTGTGACGTCACATTCATGGAACACGACGTGAAACAAATTCGGCACACTTCGGCCAATTACATATATATGAAGGGTACCGCAGTCAGCCGAGGTGAGCTGAATGCGTGAAACACAAAGTTTTGTTGCAGGGCAAACACGACGGTCACGTGCCTGTCTCGGCCAATCAGATTCTACTTAACTAGTGTTTATTTATATGAGGTATAATAATTTCGATTGAGTTGACTATAAAGTGGTCCTTATAAATGAAATCCGTAAAATCTGAGTTGACAATTCATTGAATTTCATGAAAAACTGTCTTCAGAAATAGACTAAGTTATCTTTCTTATCAGAGGGATATTACACCTTAAACATTCTTATATTTTTTTTGTAAATTAACTGCAAACAGTAAAAGTGGTTGATTGATTGATTGATTGTATATTGTTTAACGTCCTTCTCGAGAATTTTTCACTCACATGGAGACGTCCAGTAAAAGTTGATGTTATCTAGTTAAAACATCAAGTAAATTTAATTACATGCATCTGTACATATATAAATTCCGGTCTTTACACAATCAGT